CTCCGTACGATGGGGAAGAGATTCTGCTGACGCCGGAGAAATCCATCGAAATCCAGAACGCGCTGGGTAACTCGTGCTGTGTGGGAGCCGCTGGCGGGGTCCCTGGTGCCTGCCAGTGACTGCACAGGATGGGCTCGTCCTTTAAAAAGGCTCCCCAAGGTGCAGACCAACTGAGAAAAGGGATTTTGAGTCTGAGCTGGTAACTCCGTGGGGGGCGCTTGGAGGCAGTGCTGACCCCAGTGCCCTGGTGCTGTACTGCTGGGGCAGGGTGGGGCGCTCATCAGGGAGTGTTTATCCCAGCGCCCCAGGGCAGTACCGGAGGGTTGCTGTGCTCTGGCGGAAGAAGGGGGGTAAGTGAGATCCGCTTCTGTGGTTATCGAATCTCCCCATGGAGTTCGGCCCGTGGGGTGAGCTCTGGCCAGACCTCCCCGTTCTGTTACGTTCTGCCTCCCTAATTCCCTGTTGCCTGGTGGGGCTGAGCCCTGGCCCGTTGCTTCCGTGGGTCGCACGTTGCCTTGCGTACTGCCGCACCGGTGCGGGGAGAGACCGGGGAACCGGTCACTCCGGTACCTTCCCGTGCCGGGCTGCCCGTTCAAATCCTGCGGGCGCTGGGAGCGATGGAAAGTCACGGCCATCTGCTGGCTGCTTAGTGGAATGAGTCTGGTGGGTCTCAGACCATGTCAGTGCCAGCCGCTCTCAGAGGGGTAATTAAATAACTCCCCCCTCCCCCCCGATTCAGCAGCCGCAGCAGGTCATAGATACCTCATTCTCCTTTGCCTGCAGGGGAGCATGTGTGGGGTTAAATAACAGGCATCGGCCTTCAGGGCTTGGCTCCTTAAAGGAAGCAAAAGGACAGTAAGGGGGGGAGGGGGGGAACAAACTCTCCAGGAAAGAGCAGAGAAAATTCTCTGCTAATTCCTCCAGTGGGCGCCCTGCTGGGAAAAGTGCTGTGTTCAGAGCTGCCCATCATTGTGTGACTCAGAGCCGAGTTGGTGGCGTGCGCTGGGCGAATAAGACGGAAGAGATCTCCGCCAAACGGAGTCGAGTGGCTTGAAACTCTGTCCCTGGCTTTCACGGCTCGTCTCTGAGAAGCCCAGTCTTTGGGAGACTGGTTTCTCCGTCCTCCAGCCGCTGCTCGGCCTGCCTCGGTGGTCAGTCACGCCGCGTGGGTGCTCGGTCCCGGGAGCTGTCAGTGAGCTGGCCTCCGGAGAGCTGCTGGCGGGAGATCAGCTGAGACGCTGCCTTGGCACCAGCAGCGGGAACCCCAGGCCTGCGGCTTGGCTCGGCCTGAAGGGGAGTCCCCGGTGGAGTGGAAAAAGCAACTGCCCTGGGAAATCGGGAAGAGTGAAGCTAACGTAACTCTGGGAACGGTTTAGGCCCCGGTCCTGCAACAGGGCTTGGGAGGGGTCAGTGCTTTGAAGACGTTAATTGCTGTTTATGCTTTTCCTTTGGTTAAAGCAGAGTGGGGTCTAGTGGGTTGAGGGGAGGGGGGCTAGGAGCCAGGACTCCTGGGTTCTCTCCCTGATCCGGAAGGGGAGTGGGCTGCGTTGGTTAGAGTGGAGGGCAGAGGGTTGGGAGCCAGGATTCTTGGGTTCTGTTCTGGGCGGGGATGTGAAGTTCATGGCAGAGAATCGGAGCCATCCCCCTAGAGATTGGCCCTCCCCCGGCTCGCGGGGCCCAGCTCAGGCTGCCTCTCCCTCGTTCCCTTCCTAGGCTCAGACATCATGATGCAGCTGGATGACGTGGTGAGCAGCACTGTCACGGGGCCCCGGGTGGAGGAAGCCATGTACAGGTTCGTCGAGTCTCTGTAGTGCCCCCCCCCCCTTCTGTGCCTGGTGGATAACTCCCAGAAGAGCCTTCCCCAAGTGGCGGTGTCCGGATGATGGGCAGGTGCCCCACTCGGGCTCCCCCGCCCCCTGCTTTATCCCTCGCCCCAGGAGCTTGGTGGGGTGTGAGGGGGGGTGGGGGGTGGGTTTAACCCTTGGCAGACCGGATCCTCGTCGCCTGGGGGTCCCAGCTGTGGGCAGGCCGAGGGCGTTCCCCTCTCGCCCAGTTCACCCCCCATGTGGGTTGTCATCATCTCTGGAGTCTGATTTTTGTCACCGTGCTGCCCTGCCTGCGTGTTCCTCCTTGGCGGGGGTACCCCCAGATGGGGGGGGGGGGGTACAGTGGGACCCTAACAGGGAGGCTGGGTACGCCACTGGGGTGGGAATCAGAATACCAGTGTTCTGCACCTGACTCGGCCATCTGATGGCTTCAGTCGCTGACTCGCTCTGCCTCGTTTTCCCATCTCTAACATGGGGATAGGGCTAATTCCTAACTCCCGGCTGAGCTGCGTGTCCGTCGATCTCCAAGTGCTTTCCGAAGCAGGTCCCTATCATGACTATCCTCTTTTGACAGATGGGGAAACTGAGGCACGGGGTGGTGAAGTGGCTTGCGCAGGGTGGTGCAGCAGGTTGGGGGCAGGGCTGGGAACAGAACCAAGTCCCAGTCCAGGGCTCTATCCGTGAGTCCCCGCTGCCTCTGACTCTCCCGTGGGGTGGCAGGGACTGAGCGGGCCGCGTGCGTTGCAGGTCGATTCGCTGGCTGGACCGCTGCATCGCCGCCAACAGCAAACCCGACAAGCAGAACCTCTTCGCCATCATCCAGGGCGGGCTGGACCCTGCCCTCCGCACCAAGTGTCTGGAAGGTAATGGAGACCTGGACAATGGTAATTCTTCCCGTGTCTAGATAGACTGTGAGCTCCTCGGGACGGGCCTGATCTCGGGCGGGGCCTCGGTGCTCCTGGACCTGTTGCTGAGCGGTTTCACCTCTCCGGAG